CCCTGAACCCCTAAACTCCAAACGCCTGAGGGGTCTCGTCATCGCTGCGCTCCGAGGGCAGAGTCGTCTCTCCTCTCCAATGGGTCTAGGGCTTTGGCCTGTTTAGCGGGAAGTTTAGCTCAAGGTTTAGGGTTTAGGGTTGGGATTAGGGTTTAAGTTTAGGGTTTAGGGTTTAGGGTTCAGGGTTTAGGGTTCAGGGCTCAGGGTTTAGGGCTTAGGGTTTTTGGGTTTCGGAGCTATACTGCAACCTGGCAATTCCTCCCCATCTCCTTCGCTGTATCCGTCGGAAATGGTCTTGCCTTAGTCTTCAAGACGGCACGGCCCTAAACCACAAACCACAAACCCCAAACCCCAAACCCCAAACCCCAAACCCCAAACCCCAAACCCTAAACCCTAAACCCAAGTATCGAAACCTGAAATCCCAACAATGGAGAGGCTTTGGGGCTCAGAGGGTGGGCAGAAAGGGCTTTGAGGGGCTTGGGGTTCCATTTTGAAAGGGACCATTCAAGTCTCACTGACCATGAAAAAGCCTACTGGCGCGGAAGGGTTTAGGGTTTAGGGTTTTTTCGGGTTTTTTTCGGGTTTTTTCTGGTTTTTTTAGGGTTGTTTAGGGTTTTTTTAGGGTTTTAAGAGGTTTTAAGGGTGTGTCAGGGTTTAGGGTTTAGGGTTTAGGGTTGAGGGTTTAGGGTTTAGGGTTTTTTCTAGGGTTTAGGGTTTAGGGTTTAGGAGGAAAATGCAAGAAACTGTGGGCTTCTATGGGCAATTGCCACTCCCCCACCCCCACATCACAGACTGCCAGCAGATTTGCTCTATTCGTGATACTAGTTCATGGTTGGGATAGCATTAACAACTTACATTCCTGTTCCTTGTTGAGTTTAGGTACCCTTCCTTAAAAATGGAAAACATTACCCCTCTATGACAAAGTATAGAAGATACATAAACTGTCTTGTTTAGATCCGAAATACCAAAAACCTTCAGTACACCAGTTCCTGCAATTTCGGTCTATCGCTAGCTCGTACGGAAGGGCGCAGCCGGATTGCCCACAAAGTCTCCGAGCTCCACTGACATTGTCGAGCTGGCCAGCACACGCAGAATCTAGACAAGGGGTGGGTGCCGGAGCGAGGAGACCGCTTGAGCCTGCAGCAAATTTAGGGTTTAGGGTTTAGGGTTTAGGGTTTAGGGTTTAGGGTTTAGGGTTTAGGGTTTAGGGTTTAGGGTTTAGGGTTTATTGCCCAAAACCCCAGACTTAGCTATGTCAACACACGAACAGACTGTAGGCGCAACAAGCGCGTGCTTAGAAAAACAAGGAATCCCGCTACCAGAATCCGGCAGTGAGAAAAAGCACATGATACCTTGTAGGACAGAACAACAAAGTAAAGTTTTGAATTATCGAAACCTTGACACTTACATGGCTTTCATTGTATAACAGAAGTGCAGCAAGCAGAGCATGCAAACATTTACTCGATTTTACGGATACAAAGTGTGGTCCTGGGGGTGGGGGTGGGCGGGGGGGGGCATATATATATATATATATATTTATTTATTTATTTATATTTATATTTATATTTATATTTATTTATTTATTCTTATTTATTTATTTATATCTATACATATATATATATACATATGTATATATATATATATATATGAATGCATATTTACACATGTGCATATACATCTATATATATATATATATATATATATATTATAGAGAGATATATGTAAATGCGCAAATAAAAACAAAAAATAATTACAAATAAATAAATGAAAATAGATAGATAGAGAGAGATAGATAGATAGGACTCAGGTCCTACTGTAGTATCCCTGAAGATGCGGTGCGCTTGAAACCTACCTGAAATACAGTCTCTTTTGGGGCCTGGCTGTTGCACAACGTGTTTTTAGCACAACCAAAAACAAGTCGCTAATTTAGAGAACCCCAACAGCCCCAAAACCTCACACCTAAACCCTGACCCATAAACCCTAAGCCCTTGAACCAGATGAAAAACAACCACCGGCAGTACGTTTCTGTGCCCAGTGGACCATGCATCGTCTCCAGGTTTCTGGGGCGAAATCATCCCCTCCGCTGATATTTCAAGCCCCTCATATCAATCATTACCCTCCAAATACGATTATGCCAAAATGTTAGGGGGGGCAGGAAGGGGGAATGAAGGTTCAGTTGAGGGGATGATAGCTAATTTAACTCCTGTGTACATCCGGCCCGGAACTGTCGTACGGCACTTGTTGCCGTAGTGTAAGAGGGCCAGATTTTGGGCCTTGCTGCGCCTCTGAACCGAGGTTCCCCGAAACCCTAAACCCTAGGCCGTATTGAGTCTAGCGCGCTTTGAAGAGGGCAACAGCCGCACCCAAGAACTGACCGCAAGGAGGCGCACTTGCAATTCGAACGCCGGCCAGCTGTACATGAGAGGCCCGGAGTTCTCTAGACGCGCGCAGGCCCTCTGCAACATGCCTATTGGAGCACTTGGGAAGGGCCATTATAGGGATTAGGGGCCATCAGAGCATCACTGCGGAGTTTGTCGGAATAACCTGCTGGCCGCTTTGCCCAGCAAATAACTCATGGCGCACCTGGGCCGGTTTAGGGTATAGCGTTTAGGGTTTAGGGCTTCGGGTTTAGGGTTTAGGATTTAGGGTTTAGGGTTCGGGTTTAGGGTTTAGGGTTTAGGGGGCAAATTTATCTTCAAAACCTGAGCTGTCAACTCTGTGACGTGAACTCTAAGCCCCAAACCCTGAATCAACAACCCTCAGCCCTAAATTCTAACCCTGAACCTTAAACCTTAAACCCTAAACCCTGAACCTTAAACCCTGAACCCTCACCCTGAGCCCTGAAAACTCCCCTAAACCCTAATGCCTAAACCCTAAGCCCTAAACCCTCAAAAACCTTCCTCATGCGAAGCCGAAGCCAGATCTTCACCTTAGACCTCAAAGCCTTTAGGGCAGAAGGTTTAGGGTGTAGGGTTTAGGGCTTAAGGGTTAGGGTTTAGGGTTTAGGGTTTAGGGTTTAGGGTTTAGGGTTTAGGGTTTAGGGTTTAGGGTTTAAGGTTTAGGGTTTAGGGTTTAGGGTTTAGGGTTTGGGGTTTGGGGTTTGGGGTTTAAGGGTTAGGGTTTAGGGTTTGGGGTTTAGGGTTTAGGTACGGAATACACCTTAACTGTCTTAACTTATCATCGGGATCCCAATGTGGATTAAGGAATACTTCTTAATCTCACGCTTGTCGTGACATGTGGGGGCTCCACACAGGATTTAGCCGATAGTTGAGGAAGTCATAGCACAGGACTGCGGTGAACGGAACCGCCGGCATGTTAAAACATGCGACTCCAGGCAAAGAGACCCGCAATGATTCACCAAGTTCGACATGCCAAATTTGTTACATGTGGTTCTCAAAATCTGTGGTACCCTGAATTAGAGGGGGGGGCGCCTTATGATGAAGACCCCAAACGGGACCCTTGTTAGAGAGTGGCCCATGTGTCTTTGTCGCAGGGTTGGCCACGTGCAAAACTCACCCTGCGGTGGCTCGGCCTGCGTGTGCCCCAAAACCCTACACCCTAAACTAAACCCTAAACTAAACCCTAAACTAAACCCTAAACTAAACCCTAAACTAAACCCTAAACTAAACCCTAAACTAAACCCTAAACTAAACCCTAAACTAAACCCTAAGCTAAACCCTAAACTAAACCCTAAAGGCTAAACCCCAGATCTGAGGGCGATTTGGTAATAGAGAGTGTGGCGATCGCCCGGATCAGCGTTGGCTGAATGAGAGCGAGCTTCGGCCCAGACAGAGCGGGAATGGCAGAATGTCACCGTGCGGAGGCAGTATTCCGTGATTCATAAAAAAAAAGATCGTCTAGGGGCCTGGAGAATTAGAATAAGGTTTTTTGTTTTGGTTTAGGGTTTAGGGTTCAGGGTTTAGGGGCCTTGATAATTAGAATAAGGTTTTTGTTGTTGTTGTTTTTTTTTGGGGGGGGGTGAATTTTAGTAGAGTTCTATAAGGACCATGAAGGAATACTATGGGCAACTATTCCGACCCCCTAGACAAGGATAAAGAAAACGCGTGAAGATATGCGTATTCATGAACCAGGTAAAGATGGACAAACCCATCAGGGTTTTGAAATCATACTGGACATGGTGCTGCATTCCCACTTGCCTTTAAATCGGGACCAGAATTCTCATAAAGTCAAAACTGGGGCGTAGTGTTGGGGGGGGGGGTGCCTATAAAAATTAAGCCTTTATGGCTTTACAAGGACTACATAGGGGACTGAGGGTCACAAAAGTAAAACCCCTAAACCCTAAACCCGAAACCCTAAACCCTAAACCCTAAACCCCAAACCCTAAACCCTAAACCCCAAACCCTAAACCGTTCTAACCTGCCCCTGTGGAAAAGCAGTCAGGCCTGCAACAAGGGCGCTGGCGTCTGCCAGGCTCAGAACTAGTCCATGAGCGTGGTTCGAACTCGACGCCGAGATGGGGGGTGTACGCAAGATCGGGGGGACCCCTAAAGGGTTTAGGGTTTAGGGTTTAAGGTTTAGGGTTTTCCCTTCTAATAAGGACCCCAGTAAGGTACCCCCCCTATATCGCAAACGATTGGCCAGAAAAGTCATTGCATGGTGGCGTCTCGCCAGGCTCTGCATTAGCTGAATGAGCCAGATGGGACTTCCAATATGGCCACTTCCCAAAACAGGGGTCCCAATATACCCTAAACCCTAAACCCTAAACCCCAAACCCCAAGCCCTAAACCCTAAACCCTAAACCCTACCGAAACCCGAAACCCTAAACCCTAAACCCTGCTGCAATCAGGACTGCCTTTTGGGCATTTCCCGAATCAGGGGTCCCAATATACCCAACCACAAAGACCCCCTGGGGATGCCCCCCCTCATCCCTATGAAGGGCTGTTAGGAAAGGGGGAACATCCCAAATGACCCCCAAGATCGGTACCTGTAATTTCTGGAAACCCCTGGACTGCCGAACTCGAAACTCCGTGGCGGCCGTCTTAGTCAGCCCAACCAACCACTGCGCGCAGGAAGCGATGCACCTGCTTCACCAACTCTGCCGTGTGCGCTCCTGGCAAGGTGACCAACCATAGGCTCCCGAAACCCTAAACCCTAAACTCCCTAAACTTCCTAAACTTCCTAAAGCCCCCCCTAACAATATTCCAGCCCAAGTCCTACACGCCTTCTTGAGTCTAAAACCCTGGACTGTCAAACCCTAGATCCTACACGAAGCAGCGGTTTAGGGTTTAGGGTTTAGGGTTTAGGGTTTAGGGTTTAGGGTTTAGGGTTTAGGGTTTAGGGTTTAGGGTTTAGGGTTTAGGGTTTAGGGTTCAGGGACTCAACGAGACACCCACTGTATACACTCACCAATATTCCGAAGGAGCCATTCTTGGCAGCCCAGAAACCATGTTACGATCAGAAACCCGAAACCCCAAACCTTAAACCCTAAACCCTAAACCCTAAACCCTAAACGGCAGCCCAGAAACCACACTACGATAAGGGTGCCCTTTTGGGGGATGCTTTGTAAGGGAAGCTAGAAGTCCCAAGGAGAAACTTCGAGTTACAAATGGCATACAGCTTGTTGTAAGTAGGGTTTAGGGTTTAGGGTTTAGGGTTTAGGGTTTAGGGTTTAGGGTTTAGGGTTTAGGGTTCAGGGTTCAGGGTTCAGGGTTCAGGGTTCAGGGTTCAGGGTTTAGGGTTTAGGGTTTAGGGCTTCGATGCGTATGTGCCATACAACCTCATAATGCGACGTCAGCACACGTGAACCTTGAAGCGAACCCTCAGCCCTAAGCCCCAAAGACCAAAAACCGTGCTCCTGGCAAGGTTTGAAGACGAAGGGCCATCATCAGCATCACACTCATGGCACGTGATTGCAGCTCGCCTGGTGCACAGTTCTGGGGGGGGGGGGGGGCGCCGTTCTTGTGCTCGTGTGGGGCTCATAGGAACGTGATGCTGATGGCTTGACATGGTGACTCAACTGGAAGGGGAGCTTCGTTTTCGCCCCCCCCCCCCCCCCCCCCCCCAATCACCTCTCTGTGACATGGTCATCTTGATGCCACCGATAAAGATGCCAGCATCGGTACTCGCCATGTGCGTGACAAGTAGCCAGTGCTCAGGGCGAGCGTAGGAGGGCAAGGATCCCTGTAAGCTGTTTACGAAGGCCACGGCCCTGTGGCACTTTTCGGTAACGGCAACGGCGCTTGCAAACAGGCGGACAGTGAGGAAGGCGTGAATGGCGCAGGAAACCAGCTGGGGCATCAGCCAGTCAGAGCACGTGGCAATCTCTCCACTGTGCGGGAAAAGGATCACAGCCACCGGCGGGAACAAGCCCAGCAACACTGTCACAAGCGGGAGGACATACCTTCAGGAATCCAAGCCTAAAGCTCTCATTACTAAACCGGAACACCTGAACAAAGTCACCTGTCGGAAGCTCTGCCGAACAAACAAAACTTCCTACGCAGGAGCTGATGCAAATTATGCACGTCTTTTGGGTCTCCATCATCGTGGAGCGAGTTCAGGGTGCCAAAGTTCACTCCATAGTTGGAGCAACACACAGTTGGTTCAGGGTGCAAGGTCAGGGATTTAGGGTTCAGGACTCAGGTGTTGCAGCAACCCACAGGCTCAGGTAAGCTGAGGCACAGCAGGTAGCTCTCATTTGTGATCTGTCCGCTGAAGGAGGCGATGCAGGTCCAACGCTCGTATGCCGCATCGATGCCGGTGGGGCTCTTTGCAAACATTCGCGAGTGCGAGTCCAGCAGAACCAAGAGCGAGCAGTTGAGGAACATAAGAACCAAGGCCCACGACACCCGGTAAAGGGCTTGGAAGCCAGAGGCTACCAAGGATTGCCAAGATGCCATCCCGCCAAGCTGCACCGAAGCGATGTGGCTGACCAGCCATCCCAACAGGCAGCATGTGATGGTGGCCAGAGGCCACTTCATCGAGGAAGCCAGTGCGAAGCTCGACGATGGTGACTCCACTGCCTTTTTTGCATTGTCGATGAGCTCTTGCATTCCATTGCTCCATGCTTCCCGTAGCACGAGCAGTGCGCAGAGCGTGGCTTCGAACACATGCGCGAGGCTGCATGCCAGCTCCAAGCCCCTGCTGCTGCCGTGTGTCTTGCTGGTGGCTGCTGCATATACACCTTACTTCTCCAATAACCGAGGGAGAGAAAAGCTTAAACTTTTTTATTCTTCCTACTAAGCAAGGAAACTCAAAAAGTTCAAAGTTCAGCTGTTCTTAATCCCTCTTCCCCTAGGAATCAATAAGGATCCTTTTTGTTCATATAATAAGAAAGCCCATAACCCATAAAGGAAAAAAAGGATCCCTAAATAAGGCTCCTTTTTGTTCATATATAAGAAAGCCCAGAACCCAAAAAGGAAAAAAGGATCCCTAACACCGATCGAGTGTTGGAGAAGCAAGACACAGAGGGCCCAGGCCAAGCTGCAAAGCAGCACGGCGCCGCAGCGCACCGGCATGTTCCATTCCGGCCTGCCCCGCCCAGAGACTCCCCAAAACCCCTTAATTAAGGAAGAGACCTTAAATTTTTATAATAGGAAAAACCCCTTAATTAAGGAATAGACCCTTAAATTTTTCTAATAGGAACCCTGATATGATTTAAGGTATATTCCTTAATGAAAGGCCTGCCCCGGGGCGTGATCCCCACCAGCAGGTTCAGCGTGGTAACTGGCACGGTAAGCAGCCAGAACCTTTACTGAACTTGGAACCCTGGCGAAATGCTAAAGACTTAAGCTGTTTCCTGTTTCCTAGGACTTCTAGTACCCAGAAATTGAAAAAAAATCACCCCCAAGCATCCCTATAGGGCTGAGGATCTAGAACCCAAAGAAGTTGAAAAAGTACTCCCAAGCATCCCCCCAAGGAACATGCCATAGCACGCCTTTCCTCCGGACTCCTCGTCGAGGCCGGTGTCCTGGCTGTCGAAGACCATCGTCGTCATTCTTGAGAGCGCGTCCTGCTCCTTCGTATCTTGGAGGTTCATGCTCTAGGCTGCCCAGTAACCCAGGCTTACAAAGGGTGCCCTTTGCTTAAAGGGGTTGATAAGGGAACCTAAACCCCCCGGTACAACTGGGCATCCTAGTGCTACTTACTAACCAATTATAACTGTACTTATAGCCCGACTTATAATACCCCTAAAGGGCCTTATAGGGGTTATCCCAATGATATAAGTCGGGTCATAAGCCCAGTTATAAGTGGTTAGTAAGTACCATGAACCTCCATGCAGCCCAGGAACCAAAGTATCATAAGGACACCCTTTTTGGGCTACTTTATAAGGGAACCCACAACTACACTAGAACAAGGGCACCCTTTTTTGGGGGTTGGTTACTACAAAAAAGTGCAAAGAGCACCTGTTGGAGGCCCCAAGTCTCTATGGCCGTCTGCAAGGACCGCATGGTCCGCACGGGCGTGCCTGCATCCCCAAGCATTCGGCTGCCGGTGCCGGGATCGGTGTGCATTCTCTGGCAGCCTTGGCTCCCTAAACCCTAAACCCTTAACCCTAAACCCTAAACCCTAAACCCTAAACCCTAAACCCTAAACCTATGTTAAAGCCCTAGAATTTGGGAGCTTACGAACATAGGGGACCGGAAGATGGAACTCCAAATAGTAGGATTGCCTTATAATAGGGACCCCCAGTAAGGTATATTCCCCGATTTTCGGAAACCCCCAATTTCTACACGTCCGATCTCAGCAAAATCAGCAGGTCCGCGCTGTGGGTGCCTAGACGTCGCGCTGTGGGTGTTTAGGTTTAGGGGGAACTCTAAACCCTGAAACCCTAAACCCTAAACCCTTAAACCCTAAACCCCAAACGATTCTTCAGAACCTTCCAGCCACTTATTGGACTCGCTGGGATCAGCTCGGTCGTGGCTGGATGCGTCCAGGATTTCCGCTGCACCTAGGGTTTAGGGTTTAGGGTTTAGGGTTTAGGGTTTAGGGTTTCGGGTTTAAGGTTTCGGGTTAAGGGTTTAGGGTTTAGGGTTTAGGGTTTAGGGTTTAGGGTTTAAAGTTTCGGGTTTAGGGTTTAGGGTTTCGGGTTTAGGGTCAGCTAGGTTGCTCTGCAATCTTGGAAACTTGCTCTAGCCCTGTCAGGCCGCATTGGAGGGCTTTCAACCGCAAGCGCAAAGGAAAAAAATCCTTGACTTGAATCACCCCCAGGGTTCGGGCAAAGTCTCAGCGACGCTTGCACACTCCCCTTCCTCTGATTCCTGTGGTACAACACGCGCGAGGCGATCCGCGCTCTGGAGACCTTGTCCCCGTGTAGGACGTGGGTGCTCCCCTTTCTCGGCATCGGGCACACGATCCGCCGGCTGCTCCACGCTTCTATGGCTGTGGCTGTGGCCGTTCATGACAAACCTGACGTATTGCTGCTGGAGCTCTTCCACCGTGCTGTTGTTTGCCTAGGATGGCACCCCCTTACAGCCCTCTGAAAAAAGTCTTCGTGAATAAGGCCCTCTTAAACCCAATAAGGGAAGATCTACAGCTCTTAAACCCACTAAGGGAAAGATATACCCAATAAGGGAGACACCACTCACAAGGTCCCTTATAAGGGCCTACCGAGCTGCCACGTAGAAGCTCCGGGCAAGGGACAGCAAGCTCGGAGACCCGCTCGGTGACTGCGCGGGCTCCGGACATGGAGGTGGCACTGCTGGAGGCATAATGCTGCCCACAGGATCTGCCATGAGAGGGGCCTTCTAAGGGAGGAGCCGAGTTGCTAAGAGGCCGTTTAAAATATAAAAAGGGCTGCGGAGTCGAGATGCAGCAAAAGGCTTCCCAAGCTTCTTCTTTTTCTCCGGGGCTCTTGAAGCCGCCCCCCCCCCCCCCCTGCTCCGAAACGTCTTAAGCTCTGCAAAGCCTCATCCCGGAATCCCGGAATCCCGGAACCCCGGAATCCCTGAACCCTAAACCCTAAACCCTAAACCCTAAACTCTAAACCCTAAACCCTAAACCCTAAACCCTGAACCCCCTAATGAGTCTGGGGCACAGCTCGGCGTGCACTCCTCAGCACACGCCCGTTGGCGCCTCGATCTTCTTGGTGGGCCGCGGGAAGTTCCTTCCGTAGGGCTTAGGGTTTAGGGTTTAGGGTCTAGGGTTTAGGGTTTAGGGTTTAGGGTTTAGGGTTTAGGGTTTGGGGTTTAGGGTTTGGGGTTTAGGGTTTAGGGTTTAGGGTTTAGAGTTTAGGGTTTCTGAGCAGGTTGCAAGATTCATGGAGTGGTTCCGTTATGTAAAGGATGGGCCCCTGGGAGAGAAACAGGAATCCTGCCACAGTAAGAAACCGTCATATGTACTAAACCCTAAACCCTAAACCCTAAACCCTAAACCCTAAACCCTAAACCCTAAACCCTAAACCCTAAACCCTAAACCCTAAACCCTAAACCCTAAACCCTAAGCCCTATAAGCCCTTGGTTTGAGATCCTGTAGAACAGGAGCCCGGAAAACATCCCGAAGCGAAACCTAGGATCTGGCGGACGCCGTCATGGAAGATCATGGGCTTGTAAGCATCCTGAGTGTCAACCCTAAACCCTAAACCCTAAACCCTAAACCCTAAACCCTAAACCCTAAACCCTAAACCCTAAACAAGGTTTGGGGGGCTTAGGGGATAAGGGCGTAGGGTTTTAGCATTTCGGGTTTGAGGGGGTTCGTTTGAGATTTCGGGTCAAGCCTTTGCAGTGCGGCCTCGGTTTTGGGGTTTAGGGCTTCAGGCCCCTACATAAATGAGGGTTGGGGTTTGGGGTTTAGGGTTTGGGGTTTGGGGTTTGGGGTTTGGGGTTTGGGGTTTGGGGTTTGGGGTTTAGGGTTTGGGGTTTGGGGTTTGGGGTTTGGGGTTTGGGGTTTGGGGTTTGGGGTTTGGGGTTTGGGGTTTGGGGTTTGGGGTTTGGGGTTTGGGGGGCTTCTGGTACACAGCCCTGCCCCTGCCAAAAAAGAGCCGGCAATCCAGAAAACGCACCGTTTTGGACTTCGCAGTCGGTTTCTAACCCTAAACCCTAAACCCTAAACCCTAAACCCTAAACCCTAAACCCTAAACCTTCTGTGCTTCTCATGCCAGCAGCCCTAAACCAAAAACTCATGGAGGGCACAGGGTCAGCTTGGGGGCGATCTAAATTGGTTGCATCTGCAAGAAGAACACCTAACACCCGTCAACCTGAAATCCTGAACCCTCGCGCTCTGCCCGTTTAGGGTTTAGGGGTTTAGTAGGGGTTTAGGGGTTTAGGGTTTAGGGTTTAGGGTTTAGGGTTTAGGGTTTAGGGTACCCCTTACTTGGAGGTTCAGGGTACTTACAACCCCAATTATAACTGCACTTATAGGCCCCCGAAGTCCCCTCAGTCCTCTAAGTGGGTCAAAAGTAGACTTCTATTTGGGGTTAGAAGTACCCATGAACCTCCAAGTATGCCCCACACCCGACATACCTGACTAACGGTGTAGGGTTTAGGGTTTAGGGCTTAGGGTTCAGGGTTTAGGGCTTAGGGTTTTAAACTTTTAGACACAGAATAAGGGGAGGAAGGACCACTCTACCCCTAAACCCTTGACCCTTAAGCACACTCTGCAGGCTCAGCCACTGGAACCTTCTGGTGCATCACCGGACTATTCCTGTAACGCTCCACGTGCGCCTCTCGGGGGCTTCGGGTCGTGGGCTTTCAAGGCTTCAGGGCTTGTAGGGGGGAAACTTTAAGCCCTGAACCCTAAATCCACTTTAAGGGTTGTTTAACCTTGCTTCAGGGTGTTGTAGGGTTTCCTGTGGTTCGCAAGAGGTGGCCTTGTCGGGGAGGCCCATGAAACACTTCCTGCTATCCTGAACGTTTTGTGGTTTAGAGCTTAGGGTTTGGGGTTTACGGTGCCCTAGATGCTACACTCTAAAGCCGCGACCCCTCTTATTCATAGAGAAGTCACAATCATCACCCAGTACTCCTTTGAATTCCTTCTATAATTCAAGCCCTGCACCCTAAATCCTAATACTACTAGCTGCTTCAGAACCCCCAAAAGATGAAAAACAATCCTCCCTGTAAGGCAATGTAGGGATTCTCATTTTTATTTTTTGGGGGAGGGGTTCTTAAGCAGATAGTAGAATACGGGATGAGCCTGCTTGTTTTTACGTACCCTAAACCCTAAACCCTAAACCCTAAACCCTAAACCCTAAACCCTAAACCCTAAACCCTAAACCCTAAACCCTAAACCCTAAACCCTAAACCCTAAACCCTAAACCCTAAGCTGCAAAAGCTGCTGCAGAAGATTGCACCAAGTCTTGCATCGCAGCGCCTTGGGGCTCTCCCGGTTCTTTAAGGGGGGGCTTAGTTGGCTTAGGACGTCGGGTTTTAGGGCTTAGGGTTTAGGGTTTAGGGTTTAAGGTTTAGGGTTTAGGGTTTAGGGTTGTTTTTTCCGCCGCGAGTGCGCTTCGACTCCCTCCATGAAGTGGTTGGGGGTCGGCAAATGAGCTGCACTGCCCACCCTCCCACCCAAAATACAAACCTTGGACGGGTTTAGGGTTGTCTACCCCCCCTACCCTCCTATCAAGGGGGGATATATGGCTTGGTGGAGCAGAAGCAGTCGCTTAGCAACCGTGGCAAGGTCATGAGAAGATATTTGGCCCAGAAAGAACAACCGTCAACAGTCTCGACTCGGTTCCACTCCGCAATTCTTCGAAACCTTTCAAGGCTGGACGTTTACTATACTCCCCTTAAAACCTGAATAAAACAACATGTTTAATATCCTCTTGGTTTTTATATAAACAATAATTCCCAAGGGGGATATAGTTTAGCCCTTTCAGGCTTGGCTACGGCAAGAGCGGCAGGCTCTTTCAAAGCATGTTCAATGCCTCACGCCATATGACTCGTTTCGGGACCCCCACAGAGGTCTCTAGGCCATACTTTTGAAGCCTCCAGGACTTAATGAGCCCAAAGCCTTACTTGAAGCCTCCGTGACTTAATCTCAAGTCCCCAAACCTGTAACTCCAGGGCCTGCAGCTTCGAAACCCTTCATTTAAGCTTCCGGGCCTTGATTTTCATCCCCAAACTTTCAATTAGGGGGGGTAGGGGGGGCAGGGGGGGTAGGGGGGTGGGGGGGGGGGGGGGGGTGGGGCGGGTAGGGGGGGGTCGGGGGGGTGGGGGGGGCAGGGGGGGGGGGTGGGGGGGGGGGGGGTTAGGGGGGGGAGGGGGGGTAGGGGGGGTAGGGGGGGGGCAGGGAGGGCAGGGGGGTGGGGGGGGTAGGTAGGGGGGGGTGGGGGGGTGGGGGCCTCCGGGCCTTCACTTCCCCCCAAAGCCCCAAAGTAAGCCTTAATTTTGGGCCCCCCCGTAGAACCTCCAGGCCTCAATTTGGGATCCCCAAACCTTAATTTAGGCCCCCGCGCCTCCATTTAGGTCTCCTTAATTTTAAGCCTGCGGGCCGTGATTTTAAAGCTTCCGGGCCTTAACTTTAAATCCCCAAACCCTTACTCTTAAGCCTCCGGGCCCTAACTTTAGGTTCCCAAACCCAGAATTTAAGTTTCCGGGCCTTAATTTTAGGTTCCCAAACCTTGATTTAAGCTTCCGGGCCTTAATTTCAGGTCCTCAACCCAGGGGGAGGTTTTCAGGCCTGCCCGGTCGTTTGTTTATATAGGCTGACAGAAGCGGCCTATTCGAGCGCTGCGTGGACCTGAGGTCCAGGACCCTATGGCTCGCCTTTCGGCCTTCGCCTACGGGTCCGCAGGCCCCTGCCGGTGGCCTGCTAACGGCCCCTCTCAGAGTTTAGGGTTTTGGGTTTAGGGTTTAGGGTTTGGGGTTTGGGGTTTAGGGCTTAGGTTAAGGGTTAAGGGTTTAGAGTTCAGGGTTTAGGGTTTAGGGTTTAGGGTTTAGGGTTTAGGGTTTAGGGTTTAGGGTTTAGGGTTTAGGGTTTAGGGTTTAGGGTTTAGGGTTTAGGGTTTAGGGTTGCTGTACAAGGTTGGATTAAAGATAATATAATATAGCGTTCGCCCATGTGCTCCATGCCCTTGGGCCCTAAACCCCAAGCCTTGAAGCACCCGCCCCAAGCTCTACCCCGAACCCCAAACCTAAACATCCCTAAACCCTAAACCCTAAACCCTAAACCCTAAACCCTAAACCCTAAACCCTAAACCCCTGTCTTCGGTAGCCGAGAGCCTTGAGTCCCTGGTGGGGGCCACTCCAGCTGACTTGGCAGACCTGGCTTCATGTTTAGGGTTTAGGGTTTAGGGTTTAGGGTTTAGGGTTTAGGGTTTCGGGTTTAGGGTTTAGGGTTTAGGGTTTAGGGCTTATAGGGTTCAGCACTTAGGGGCTCAGGGCCGTTTACAGCTATGTCGGGTTTAGGGTTTACTGAGCTTGGGGCGGCTTACGGCTGTCATACTCTCTAATGACAACCAGAATATGGGATACTGCTTTTGGGGTGCAGGGAGGGGGGTTCAAAGGTTTAGGCCTGTCGGATATCTGGGAGCGTGTGCTTTGAAGAGATGGCTCAAACCTGAAAGCCTCATTAGACACAAGCGCGTCTACAGTGTTGGTTGTGATTCGAACACCCTAAACCCGAAACCCCAAACCCTAAACCCCAAGCCCCGAACCCCAAACCCCCAAACCCCAGACCCCAAACCCCAAACCCCAAACCCCAAACCCCAAACCCTAAACCCTAAACCCTAAACCCAACTAACAACTCTGCGTTCTAGGAGCCCTCCTGGGGCGATAGGGTTTAGGGGTTAGGGTTTAGGGTTTAGGGTTTAGCCCACGAATCTCCATGCCAGCTCTGAAACTCCCCTGAACCCGAAACCCTACAACCCGCCAAACCCTCAGCCCAAGCCCTAAGCCCGAAGCCCTAAACCCTAAACCCCCAAGCCCTATACCCTAAACCCTAAACCCTAAACCCTAAACCCCCCCCCCCCCCCCCAAATCCTAAACCCTAAACCGCAAACCCCCCCCCCCACGACCTTTTGGGTGGGCAGCGCCCAGGAGGAGAAGCCATCAAAGGTGATCCACGCCTCAGATGAGGCTTCGGGTTTAGGGTTTAGGGTTTAGGGTTCAGGGTTTTAAGGCCTGAGGCTCCACTAGTTCATGGTTGGGATAGCATTGAAAATTTGAGTTGCTATTCCTTATTGAGTTCAAGTACCCTTAAAAATGCAAAATGTTACCCCACTATCACAAAGGCTTGTGTAAGAAGTTGTTTAGGGCTTAGGGCTTAGGGCTTGCAGGTTTTAGGTTAGAGTTGAGGAGTTTAGGGCCCGCAACGGCCCACAACAACAGCAAGCTCTGCCAAAGGCCTTCGAGCTTTGGGTTCAGGGTTTAGGGTTTAGGGTTTAGGGTTTAGGGTTTAGGGTTTAGGGTTTAGGGTTTAGGGTTAGGGTTTAGGGTTTAGGGTTTAGGGTTTAGGGTTTAGGGTTTAGGGTTTAGGGCTTGGGGCTTGGGGTTTAGGGTTTAGGGTTTAGGGTATGAAGTATGAACCAACCAGAGGACCCTTTAGCCAGCAAGCTGGCATCTGGGCTTTGGGTCTTGAGGTTCGTCGGGTAGTTATCAAATTGAGGGTTCTGCTACCTCGTCAGGTCACTAAAGTCCTGCATTCTGATCTGAGAGGCAGCATCGACGGCCGAAGCGTCCACGAGGTTCACGAAGGCGTAGCCCAGGTTCGCCTGCCAGAGAAATCTCGGCCACTTGGGCTCTGATTCGGGATGCACGGATTGACTATGCTTGGACACGGAATATCGCAGAACACGCCTGCCGCTTGAAGTCACAGGGCAGGTACACGAAGTCGTAGCGCCCAGCAAAGCCGTGGTCGTCCAGGAGGGTCAAGAACATCTCTCTGGTGTAATTATTGGGGACATTGCGCAGCATCACAGTGGTACGATCCGTGGTCTGCTTTGAATGACTCTTCTTCTTCCCTGCTGCCTGCGATGCCTGCGATGCCTGCGATGCCTGCGATGCCTGCGATGCTTGCGATGCCTGCGATGCCTGCGATGCCTGCGATGCCTGCGATTTCGGATGCACAGCCGCCTGCGTGTCTCTGCGCTCTTCCAGCACTTCCGGCCCGGCGCAGGTGCCGTCCGCAGACTCGGCATGCTCGTCACTGAACTTCCCAGGCACGTAGGCCTCGATGCCAAAGCCCATCACCAAAGCCGAGTCAGACATGGTCCGGCCACGCAGCTGCGCGAAGCAATGCAACACGCTTTGGCCCTCGTCCACATCGAGGAACGTGGCCTTCACGATCACGTTGCACTGATCACACTCGCCAGCCCTGCGCGGCGAGGGCAGCCGGGAGGAGCAGGTGCTCTCGGTGGTGTCGATGTCGCTGTGCACGGCCACCGTGCTTTCCGAGTCGCTGACAGGTTGCACAAGCTTCATAGCAGGCATGGCGGAGCGAAGGCTAAGTTGGAGATGGCCGCACTAGTGGCAGATGCTTGGGCCCAGTGCTTCGCGCGGAGCCCCTGGGGATGAAAAACTCGCGGACGTCTCCCCAAGTTGTTACAGGGCCTTTGTATTGCCCTTGATGCTGGCAACTTTATATACCGCTTACGTACCCTGTCGAACTTTAACGAAGGTATAAGGGATCACTTATGAAAGGGGCCGGGTAAGTACCGGTCATGAGAGTTCAGGGCGTATCTTCCTTGAGTACCCAACCCTAAATCCCAAAACGACCTCAAGGGACAACTGGGCCCCATTCCTAATTCGGGCACGTGGGCTGAATTGCACAGCCGGTGGTTTAGGGCTTAGTAGGCTTAGGGGGCTTAGGATTTGGGGCTTAGGGATTGGGGCACCCATGGGCACCTTTTTCTCCGTAAGTTGCATGGCTAATTCACCGCCTGGCCTGCAAGTGCGCAAGTGTCGGCGTGCGATGCGACAGCAGCCACGCTTCGCGACAAGAGTTTGGCAGCCCCGGTGCCGTTGTTCGTGCTGGTGCTTAAACCTCCGTCAACGGCACTTACAGGAAGAGGCATTGTCAAACCGTGCTCTCTCCTGCGCACCCCGAACTGTACATGGAGGTCCTGGGATGCACCCTTCGGCACACCGCAGGCACCTCCCGGACTCCTGGGGTCAGGGCTGGGGAACTGGGCGAAGCGTCAAAACGGCAGGCGCCCACATCGCCAATAAAGACTATACATTATGGCACTGAGCCGTTCCCCAAACTCAGGGTCAAGAAATTCTGCGCTGAGACCCCATGAGCCTCGGTCCCCAGCCCATGTTCTGTTTGGCTTGATGGTGGGAACACTTGACCCGAAGCCCTAAAACCTCTCAGTGACAGTAGAGCGACTGGGAGGCTTTTTTCGGACTCCGTGCATAAGCCTGAAACCCCTAAACCCAAGACCTCGAAACCCTGAATCCCAAAACAATAACGTGCTCACCGCAGATGAGCGGCTCACATGTTTGGGGCTTTTACCTTCTTGGTGGGTCGCGGAAAGCTCCTCTGCGGTGGATTTGGGACCCGGTCAAAACTCAATTTCTATGGGTTTTCAAGGGCTACGCAATGTTGTCCAGGGAGTTGGGCCAGAAAAGTGCTTCCACAAAAATCTTCAACGTGTGAGTCCTTCGCACGCCATCCGCGAAGATCACCGGCTTGTACTCGTCCGGAACGCTCTTGTGCATCACCGGACTGTTCTTGTAGCGCTCCACGTGGGCCTCGCACGTGCTGTTTTGCAATAAGACCTGAAGAGCCCGGGCCATGTGCCAGAATTAAGCCATAGAAAATGTTGTGTCGATGCTTCTGCAAGAGTACGGCTTTAGGGTTCCGTGTTTGCTAAGGCCAGTGTGGTTTGTTGTGGGTGTACGTGTTTAAGGCCAGTGTGGTTTGTTGTGGAGTGTACTTACTTGTCCTGGAACTGAAGTTTAACCTTTAAAGGGACTCGCTATCTACCGCACCTGCTGCCTCCAAGCCGACAATCTGGGGTGCGGAGACGTGAAATTGGGTTTGGGGAATAGCGCCTGCGGACCTGCGGGGAGCTCAGGCTTTGGGACCCTAAGCCCGAACCCTAAAATCTTGTTAGAAGCCACGGGTCCGGATAAACCCTCCAAAGCCCCAGAATCCCCCGACGCCTCGAGCCCCTGGTGCGGGCCACTCCACTTGACCTGGCAGACCTGCTTTGGGGTTTTGGGGTTTAGGGTCTTGGGGTTCCGGGTCTTTGCGCTTGTTGCGATAAAAATGCTGCAGGAGGGAAGCTTGATTCACGGGCTTGGAGAGGGACCCCTGCTTAAGCAACTGTGGCCTCAAACCAGGTGCCGCAGGCTTCAGAGGTTTGCACAGGGTTTAGGCTTCAAGGTTCAGGGTTTAGGGTTTAGGGTTTAGGGTGAAGGTTCAGGCAAACATCAGTAGGGGTTTGAATGGTTCGGAGTACCCCCAACGAGAGCACCCCAGCTTGCCCGACTTGCAACCCCGTGCACCTAAACAGGTGTTTTTTTTACCCTAAACCCTAAACCCTAACCCTAAACCCTACACCCTAAACCCTAAACCCTAAAGAGGTAGCCGGTGTTAGCTGAAGCCTACATTCGGAGCACCCTGGAGGCTCCCGGCCTTCTGGCTCGGAAGAGCCCAGGCCTCGAAACCATCAAAGGTGGCCCATGCCTTCGTTGCACCCGTTTGGGGCTTGGGGTGTGGGGGTTTGGGGGTAGCTTGGCTGACTTGTGAACCCCTCCCAAAATCTTAACTTTTAGGCTCCTTATTGCAGTTATGTAGTTTCTACAAACACCCAAAAGGTTGAAGTCCGAAGAGCCAGCCAGAAGAAAGCCAAGTTAGGGTTTAGGGCTCAAGAAGCAGGATCTGATACCTGCCGAACCAGGCCTTGAAAAACTTCTAGATTCTGATCCTCCGAGTGGCAGCATCGACGGCCGAAGCGTCCACGAGGTTCACGAAGGCGTAACCCAGGTTCGCCTGCCAGAGCACTCGCAAAGAGACTCAGGAACTTGGGCGCCCTGTCCTCTCTCTGATTGGGAATGCACGGATTGCCTATGGCAGATTATGGTCGAACCCGCCTGCCGCTTGAAGTCACAGGGCAGGTACACGAAGTCGTAGCGCCCAGCAAAGCCGTGGTCGTCCAGGAGGGTCAAGAACATCTCTCTGGTGTAATTGTTGGGGACATTCCGCAGCATCACAGTGGTGCGATCCGCGGTCTGCTTTGACTGACTCTTCTTCTTCCCTGCCGCCTGCGATGCCTGCGATGCCTGCGACTTCGGCTGCAGGGAAGCCTGCGTGTCTTTGGGCTCTTCACGCACTTCCGGCAAATTCGGCCCGGCGCACGTGCTTTCCGCAGACTTGGCATGCTCGTCGCTGAACTTCCCAGGCTCGTAGGCCTCGATGTCAAAGCCGCCAAAGCCCATCACCAAAGCCGAGTCTGAAATGATCCGGCCACGCAGCTGCGCGAAGCACTGCAACAGGCTCTGGCCCTCGTCCACGTCGAGGAACGTGGCCTTCACGATCACGTTGCACTGCTCCCGGTCACCTGTCTGGCGCGGCGAGGGCAGCCGGGAAGAGCAGTTGCTCTCGGTGGTGATGTCGCTGTGCTCCGAGTACACCGTGCTGTTGGAATCGATGCGTCGCACGGGCTTCACTGGCGCAGCCGCCGTCATGGTCGATAGGCAGGTCATTGGAAAGAGAAGGCTCTATATGTAATCGCGATGGTCGTTCTGGTTGACGACTTCTGAGGCTGAGCCAGTGCAAGCAAGGCGTACTCTGTCAGGCTTGCAACAATGCAAAGACTTCCATAAACACTCCCACATGAAGCTTGTATGCTTGAATGAAACTGTACGTACCGTCCACTGGTTTAGAAATTGTACGTACTTTACTCAGAGGCACCAGAGCTTCTCACATTGAAACGTCAGGATGTTGGGCAGGATGTTGGCTAAACCTAAAACATTAAAGCCTCAAGGCCACGTGGAAACGAAAATGGCGAGGCAACACCTTGCAACACGAAGCTCGCAAAGGCAAAGAAACCTTTGCCATCTTTTCTTCAGCGTGCAGAGGCATGAACATCTGTGCTCTCTCGCTCTCTCTCTCTCTCTCTATGTTCTCTCTTTCTGTTCTCTCTCTCTCTCTCTCTCTTTCTCGCTCGCGAGCGCTGCACGAAGGGATAGGTCCCACACCGCGCGTATGCGCTAGGGGGGTTAGGGTCTGTGGCACCAATGGGCACCCTTTTCTCCGTAGGTTGCATGGCTAATTCACCGCCTCGCCTGCAAGTGCGCAGGTTGTCGGCGTGCGATGCGAAAGCAGCCACGCTTCGCGACAAGAGTTTGGCAGCCCCGGTGCCGTTGTTCGTGCTGGTGCTTAAACCTCCGTCAACGGCACTTACAGGAAGAGGCATTGTCAAACCGTGCTCTCTCCTGCGCACCCCGAACTGTACATGGAGATCCTGGGATGCACCCTTCGGCACACCGCAGGCACCTGCCGGATTCTGGGGTCAGGGCTGGAGAACTGGGCGAAGCGTCTAAACGGCAGGCGCCCACATCGCCAATAAAGACTATACATCATGGCACTGAGCCGCTCTCAATGTCAGGAGGTCAAGAAATTTGCGCCGAAACCCTTGAGCCTCGGTCCCCAGCCAATGTTCTGTTCTGCTTGATTGATGGTGGGAACACTAGACCCAAAGCCTTAACAGTGAAAGTGAGAGACTGGGGGGGTTTTGCGGACTCCATAAATGAGCCTGAAACCCCTAAACCCAAAAACTTCTAAACCCTCTGAATCCCAAAAAAGCAAGTGCTTGCCGCAGACAAGTGTCTTACATGTTTGGGGCTTTTACCTTCTTGGTGGGTCGCGGAAAGCTCCTCTGGGGTGGATTTTGGGACCCTGTCAAAAGTACATCTCCCTGGGTTTTCTCAAAGGCTACGCAGTGTTGTCTAGGGATTCGGGCCCATAGAACTTAGAAAAGTGCTTCCACCAAAATCTTCAACGTGTGAGTCCTTCGCACGCCATCCGCGAAGATCACCGGCTTGTACTCGTCCGGAACGCACTTGTGCATCACCGGGCTGTTTTTGTAGCGCTCCACGTGGGCCTCGCATGTGCTGTTTTGCAGTAAGACCTGAAGAGCCCGGGCCCTTTGCCATAATTAGGTTAATTAACCTTTAATCGGATTCGCTATCTGCCACAGCTGCCGAACATGTTGGGTTCGGAGGCATGAAATTGGGTTCGGGGAATGGGGCTTGCGATGCGTTGGGGACTCTAAACCCTAACCGAAAACCCTGATAGAAGCAGGTCCGGATAAACCCTCCAAAGCCCCAGAACCCCCGCCTCCAGCCCCTGGTGTGGGCCACTCCACTTGACCTGGCAGACCTGCTTTCAGGTTTCGGGGTTTAGGGTTTGGGGTCTTGGGGTTCAGGGTTGAGGGGTGTAGGGTTTGGCAAGATTTTTGGTTTAAAGACGCTGCGGGCCTTGAGAGGGACCCCGGCTTAAGCAACAGCGGGGTTCTAAACTGTTCTAAGTACTCCCAGCGAGCTGGCCCGACTTGCAACCCCGGCCCCTACCGGGTGTGCGGGGTGTGGGGGGTCTAGGGTTTTGGGTTTAGCTGAAGCCTGCATTCTAAACACCCTGGAAGCACCCGGCCTTCTGGCTGGGAAGAGCCCAGGCCTCGAAACCCTCAAAGGTGGCCCACGCCTTCGTTGCAACGGCTTGGGGCGATTTGGGGCTCAAGAAGCAGGATCTGAGACCTGCCAAATCAGGTCATTCTCAAGCTCCGAGTGGCAGCATCGACGGCCGAAGCGTCCACGAGGTTCACGAAGGCGTAGCCCAGGTTCGCCTGCCAAAGAATTCTCAAAAACTTGGGCGCCCTGTTCTGTCTCTGATTCGGGATGCACGGATTGCCTATGGCAGATTGTGGCAGAACCCGCCTGCCGCTTGAAGTCACAGGGCAGGTACACGAAGTCGTAGCGCCCAGCAAAGCCGTGGTCGTCCAGGAGGGTCAAGAACATCTCTCTGGTGTAATTATTGGGGACATTCCGCAGCATCACAGTGGTGCGATCCGCGGTCTGCTTTGACTGACTCTTCTTCTTCCCTGCCGCCTGCGATGCCTGCGATGCCTGCGACTTCGGCTGCAGGGAAGCCTGCGTGTCTTTGGGCTCTTCACGCACTTCCGGCATATTCGGCCCGGCGCACGTGCTTTCCGCAGACTTGGCATGCTCGTCGCTGAACTTCCCAGGCTCGTAGGCCTCGATGTCAAAGCCGCCAAAGCCCATCACCAAAGCCGAGTCTGAAATGATCCGGCCACGCAGCTGCGCGAAGCACTGCAACAGGCTCTGGCCCTCGTCCACGTCGAGGAACGTGGCCTTCACGATCACGTTGCACTGCTCCCGGTCACATGTCTGGCGCGGTGAGGGCAGCCGGGAAGAGCAGTTGCTCTCGGTGGTGATGTCGCTGTGCTCCGAGTACACCGTGCTGTTGGAATCGATGCGTCGCACGGGCTTCACTGGCGCGGCCGCCGACATGGTCGATAGGCAGGTCATTGGAAAGAGAAGGCTCTATATGTAATCGCGATGGTCGTTCTGGTTGACGACTTCTGAGGCTGAGCCAGTGCAAGCAAGGCGTACTTTGTCAGGCTTGCAACAGTGCAAAGGCTTCCATAAACACTCCCACATGAAGCTTGTATGCTTGAATGAAACTGTACGTACCGTCCACTGGTTTTGGAATTGTACGTACGTTTACTCAGAGGCACCAGAGATTTTGGGGCATCATGTACGCAGAGCAGCGTCAAGGCTACCAGGCAATGTGCTTGTAGCTAAAGTTCAGGATGTAGGGTCTTCTTCTTCTTGTTATTATTGTTCTTCTTCTTCTTCTTATTCTGCTTCTTCTTCAATTTCTTCCTTCTTCTTCTTCTTCTTCTTCTTCTTCTTCTTCTTCTTCTTCTTCTTCTTCTTCTGCTGCGCGCTTTGAGGCGGAGGGCTGGGGTAGCCTCAAGGGCCAAGCGGGTCCGTGCACTCTCTCTCTCTCTCTCTGTCGCTCGCGTGAGCGTTGCACGAATGGAGAGGTCCCACACCTCGCAGGGATAGGGTCTGTGGCACCAATGGGCACCCTTTTCTCCGTAGGTTGCATGGCTAATTCACCGCCTCGCCTGCAAGTGCGCAGGTTGTCGGCGTGCGATGCGAAAGCAGCCACGCTTCGCGACAAGAGTTTGGCAGCCCCGGTGCCGTTGTTCGTGCTGGTGCTTAAACCTCCGTCAACAGCACTCACAGGAAGAGGCGTTCGTTGTCCACCTGCGCACCCCGAACTGTACATGGAGGTCCTGGGATGTACCCTTCGGCACACCGCAGGCACCGGATTCTGGGGTCAGGGCTGGGGAACTGCGCGAAGCGGCCGAGCGGCAGGCGCCCACATCGCTAATAAAAACTGTACATCATAAACTCACGGGGGTCAAGAAGTCAAGAACTCGAGCTGAGACCCCATGAGCCTGGGTCCCCAGCCAATGTTCTGCTTTGCTTGATGGTGGGAACGCTCGACCTAAAACCCCTCAGTGCAAGGGAACGATTGGGGATGGGGGCTTTTGCTAAACTCTCGGACTCCGTAAACGAGCCTTAAACCCCTAAACCCAAAAACTTCTGAACCCTCGGAATCCCAAAAAAACACGTGCTCGCCGCAGACAAGCGGCTCACATGTTTTGGGGCCTTCACCTTCTTAGTGGCCCGCGGGAAGCTCCTCTGGGGGTGGATTTGGGGACCCTGTGAGCCAGTACATCTCCCTGGGCTTTTCTCAAGGGCTACGCAGTGTTGTCCAGGGATTCGGGCCCGAACTTCAAGCCTTTTGCCCAATGATGTTCAACGTGAGTCCTTCGCACACCATCCTTGAAGATCGCCGGCTTGTACTCGTCCGGAACGCTCTTGTGCATCACCGGACTGTTCTTGTATCGCTCCACGTGGGCCTCGCATGAGCTGTTTTGCGCAGTAAGACCTGAAGAGACCGGGGCCATGTGCCATAATTAAGCCCGAAAAAATGGTCTGTCGGCTTTTGTGTTTCGCGTTTGCTGAGGCCAGTGTGGTTTGTTGTGCGGTGTACGTGTTTAGGGTTTAGGCTCAGGCCAGCGCGGTTTGGTGTGGGGTACTTACTTGTCAAGTTGCCTACGGGAACTGAAGGTTAGCCTTTCAACGCCTTTCAACTCTGGATTCTAGGGGATAGGATTAAGGGGGACCCTTGGGGCTATAGACCCTTATTGAGGTCCCTGTTGAAGAGAGCCAGAAGAGGGTTCAGAAGGGTTCCCTTTTAAAGGGTCCCCCTTGTCCTACCTAGGAAATTCCCCGTATACCACAAAGAGGCCCGAGGCTGCTGACTCCAAGACGCAAATCCAGGGTTCGGAAGGGCGAAACTCGGATTTCGGTAGTAGGGGTTGCGTGTAGGGGCTTAGGCTTTTTGACCCGCAGCCCTGACCTAAACCCGCGTTACCCTAAAGCCTAAACCCTAAGCCTTAAACCCCGAACCGGCAGAAACCGCAAGTCCAAAGAAACCCTAAACCTCGAAACCACCAGAACCCTGACCCTCAACCCTAACTAAGGGAGACCCGACGCCTCCAGCCCCTGGTGTGGGCCACTCCATTTGACCTGGCAGACCTGCTTTCAGGTTTCGGGGTTTAGGGTTTAGGGTTTAGGGTTTAGGGTTTAGGTTTAGGGTTTGGGGTCTTGGGGTCTTGGGGTCTTGGGGTTTGGCGGGGTGTGCCCTAAACCCTAAACCCGAAAGAGGGCTCCATGCCCTTCGTCGGCTTCAAGATTTTGGGGCTTAGGGTCTAAGATTAGGGTTTAGGATGGTTTTTTGGTTTGGTTTAGGGTTTGGGGCTTAGCAGCTGGTCTCAAATCGGTTCTAAGCACACGAACAAGAGCACGACGAATTCATTGCCCGATTTGCAGAGAGTGGTCGCCCCAACCCGAAACCTTGAGTGCCTGGTGCACTCCCTAAAACTGAGCACGACTTTTTCGGTTCGGGTGTGGGGGTTCTAGGGCAACCCCCTGGAAGCATCCGGCCTTCTGGCTCGGAAGAGCCCAGGCCTCGAAACCATCAAAGGTGGCCCACGCCTTCGTTGCACCCGTTTGGGGCGATTTGGGGCTGCCAGTCATTCTCAAGCCCTGCAATCTGATCCTCCGAGTGGCAGCATCGACGGCCGAAGCGTCCACGAGGTTCACGAAGGCGTAGCCCAGGTTCGCCTGCCAGAGCACTCGCAAAGAGACTCAGGAACTTGGGCGCCCTGTTCTGCCTCTGATTCGGAATGCACGGATTGCCTATGGCAGATTATGGCAGAACCCGCCTGTCGCTTGAAGTCACAGGGCAGGTACACGAAGTCGTAGCGCCCGGCAAAGCCGTGGTCGTCCAGGAGGGTCAAGAACATCTCTCTGGTGTAATTGTTGGGGACATTCCGCAGCATCACAGTGGTGCGATCCGCGGTCTGCTTTGAATGACTCTTCTTCTTCCCTGCCGCCTGCGATGCCTGCGATGCCTGCGATGCCTGCAATGCCTGCGATGCCTGCGATGCCTGCGATGCCTGCGATTTCGGCTTCACAGCGGCCTGCGTAGCTCCGCGCTCTTCGCGCACTTCCGGCATTCTCGGCTCGGCGCAAGCGCTTTCCGCAGACTTGGCACGCTCGTCGCTAAACTTCCCAGGCTCGTAGGCCTGGATGTCATATGCCATCACCAGCGCCGAGTCTGAAATGATCCGGCCACGCAGCTGCGCGAAGCACTGCAACAGGCTCTGGCCCTCGTCCACGTCGAGGAACGTGGCCTTCACGATCACGTTGCACTGCTCCCGGTCACATGTCTGGCGTGGCGAGGGCAGCCGGGAAGAGCAGTTGCTCTCGGTGGTGATGTCGCTGTGCTCCGAGTACACCGTGCTGTTGGAATCGATGCGTCGCACAGGCTTCACTGGCGCGGCCGCCGTCATGGTCGATAGGCAGGTCATTGGAAAGAAGGCTATGTACGATCGCGAGTGTCGTGCTGGTTGACGACTTCTGAGGCTGAGCCAGTGCAAGACAGGCATGCTTGTCAGGCTTGCTACAACGCATAGGCTTCCATAAAACTACCAGGTGAAGCTTGTGCGCTTGAATGAAACTGTACATTATACCTTCGCCTGGTTTTGAGTTGTACGTAAGAGGCACCAGAGCTTCTGGGGTACAATGTCCAGAAAGTAGCGTCAAGGCTACCATGCAATAGGCTTGAAGCTCACATTGAATTGTCAGGATGTACGGCTTCAGGTTGTCGGCTAAACCTCAAGCATTACAGCCTCAAGGCCACGTGGAAACGAACATGGCAAGGCAACACCTTGCAACGCGCAGCCCGCAAACACAAAGGAACTTTTCTTCTCTTTTGTTCAGCTTGCAGCGGCATGAAAATCTGTGCTCTCTCTCTCTCTCTGTGTTCTCTCATTCTGTTCTTTCATTCTGTTCTCTCTCTCTCTCTCTCTTTCTCTCTGTTTCTCTCTCTCTCTCCCTCTCTCTCTCTCTCTCTCTCGAGCGTTGCACGAATCGAGAAGTCCCACACCTAGGATAGGCGTGCAAGTGCTGGGGATCGGCTGCCCGACTCCCAGTGGAATGTTTCAAAGGGGGTTGCTACGCGTGATGCTGGAAATTTTAGATAGCCCTTTTACGTACCCTGTCGAGTGCATACCTCAGAGCCCTTTCGCGAAGTAGAAAGGGGGACCATATTCAGGGGCCATACCAAACCTAGGGGGCAACCATGGGCAACCTTTTCTCCATGGGTTGCATGGCTAATTCACCGCTTCGCCTGCATGTGCGCAGGTTGTCGGCGTGCGATGCGACAGCAGCCACGCTTCGCGACAAGAGTTTGGCAGCCCCGGTGCCGTTGTTCGGGCTGGTGCTTAAACCTCCGTCAACGGCACTTACAGGAAGAGGCGTTCGTTGTCCACCTGTGCACCCCGAACTGTACATGGGGGTCCTGGGATGTACCCTTCGGCACACCGCAGGCACCTGCCGGATTTGGGGTCAGGGCTGGGGAACTGCGCGAAGCGGCAGAGTGGCAGGCGCCCACATCGCTAGTAAAAACTATACATCATGGCACTGAGCCGTTCCCCAAACTCAGGGGGTCAAGAAGTCAAGAACTGGAGCTGAGACCCCATGAGCCTGGGTCCCCAACAAACTTTCGGCTTTGCTTCATGCTGGGAACACTAGTCCTTAAGCCCCAAAACCTCTCAGTGAAAGGGAACGATTGGGGGTGGGGGCTTTTGTTAAACTCTCGGACTCCGTAAACAAGCCTTCAACGCCTAAACCCAACACCTCTAAACCCTGAATCTCAGAAGAACGTGCTCGCCACAGTCAAGCGGCTCACATGCTTGGGGCTTTCACCTTCTTAGTGGCCCGCGGGAAGCTCCTCTGGGATGGGTTTTTTGAAAATCCATTTCGCCGGGTTTTCATAGTGCGATACAGTGTTGTCCAGGGATTCGGGCCCGAACTTTAAGCCTTTTTCCCAATGATGTTCAACGTGAGTCCTTCGCACACCATCCTTGAAGATCGCCGGCTTGTACTCGTCCGGAACGCTCTTGTGCATCACCGGACTGTTCTTGTAGCGCTCCACGTGGGCCTTGCATGCGCTGTTTTTCGCAGTAAGACCTGAAGAGCCCGGGCCATATGCCACAAGCCCCAAAACAGAATCTGTCGATGCTTCTCCTAAGGCCTGATAGCTTCAGGGCTTAGCACCTGCCTTGAGGGCACGGCAATAGGGTTTAGGGTTTTAGGGTTTAGGCTAAACATTTAGCCTCAGGCCACCGCGGTTTGGTGTGGGGTACTTACTTGTCAAGTTGCCTACGGGAACTGAAGGTTAACCTTTAAACGCCTTTCAACTCGGGATTCGCTGTATACCACAAAGAGGCCCGAAGCTCCGGACTCCAAGACGCAAATCCAGGGTTCGGAAGGGCGAAACTCGGATTTCGGTAATAGGGGTTGCGGTGTAGGGCTTAGGCTTTTTGACCCGAAGCCCTGACCTAAACCCGTGTTACCCTAAAGCCTAAACCCTAAGCCTTCAACCCCGAACCGGTAGAAACCACGAAACCACCAGAACCCTGACCCTCAACCCTAACTAAGGGAGACCCGACGCCTCCAGCCCCTGGTGTGGGCCACTCCATTTGACCTGGCAGACCTGCTTTCAGGTTTCGGGGTTTAGGGTTTAGGGTTTAGGGTTTAGGGTTTAGGGTTTAGGGTTTCGGGTTTAGGGTTTGGGGTCTTGGGGTCTTGGGGTCTTGGGGTTTGGCGGGGTGTGCCCTAAACCCTAAACCCGAAAGAGGGCTCCATGCCCTTCGTCGGCTTCAAGATTTTGGGGCTTAGGGTCTAAGATTAGGGTTTAGGATGGTTTTTTGGTTTGGTTTAGGGTTTGGGGCTTAGCAGCTGGTCTCAAATCGGTTCTAAGCACACGAACAAGAGCACGACGAATTCATTGCCCGATTTGCAGAGAGTGGTCGCCCCAACCCGAAACCTTGAGTGCCTGGTGCACTCCCTAAAACTGAGCACGACTTTTTCGGTTCGGGTGTGGGGGTTCTAGGGCAACCCCCTGGAAGCATCCGGCCTTCTGGCTCGGAAGAGCCCAGGCCTCGAAACCATCAAAGGTGGCCCACGCCTTCGTTGCACCCGTTTGGGGCGATTTGGGGCTGCCAGTCATTCTCAAGCCCTGCAATCTGATCCTCCGAGTGGCAGCATCGACGGCCGAAGCGTCCACGAGGTTCACGAAGGCGTAGCCCAGGTTCGCCTGCCAGAGCACTCGCAAAGAGACTCAGGAACTTGGGCGCCCTGTTCTGCCTCTGATTCGAGATGCACGGATTGCCTATGGCAGATTGTGGTAGAACCCGCCTGCCGCTTGAAGTCACAGGGCAGGTACACGAAGTCGTAGCGCCCGGCAAAGCCGTGGTCGTCCAGGAGGGTCAAGAACATCTCTCTGGTGTAATTATTGGGGACATTCCGCAGCATCACAGTGGTGCGATCCGCGGTCTGCTTTGACTGACTCTTCTTCTTCCCTGCCGCCTGCGATGCCTGCGATGCCTGCGACTTCGGCTGTAGGGAAGCCTGCGTTTTCGGCTGCACAGTGGCCTGCGTGGCTCCACGCTCTTCACGCACTTCCGGCATTTTCGGCCCGGCGCAAGCGCTTTCCGCAGACTTGGCACGCTCGTCGCTAAACTTCCCAGGCTCGTAGGCCTGGATGTCATATGCCATCACCAGCGCCGAGTCTGAAATGATCCGGCCACGCAGCTGAGCGAAGCACTGCAACAGGCTCTGGCCCTCGTCCACGTCGAGGAACGTAGCCTTCACGATCACGTTGCACTGCTCCCGGTCACCGGTCTGGCGCGGTGAGGGCAGCCGGGAAGAGCAGTTGCTCTCGGTGGTGATGTCGCTGTGCTCCAAGTCCACCGTGCTGTTGGAATCGATGCGTCGCACAGGCTTCACGGGCGCGGCCGCCGACGTCGTCATCAGGCAGGTCATTAAACTGGAAGGAAGGTGAAAAACAATCGCGATTATATCGTGCTGGCTGACGACTTCTGAGCCTGAGCCAGCACAGTCAAGCAAGGCGTAGGTTTTCTACAATGCAAAGGCTACCTGAAAGAGACTCCCAGATGAAGCTCGTGCGCTTGAATGAAACTACACATACCTTGTGCTGGTTTAGAAGTGTATGTCACTCAAAACCAGAGCTTCTGGGGCATCATGTGCGCAAGGCTACAAGTACCAGGCAATAGGCTTGAAGCTCAGGGTTTCAGGTTCTCGGCTACACCTCAAGCATTAACCCCTCAAGGCCACGTGGAAACGAACATGGCAAGGCAACACCCTGCAACGCGAAGGCCCCGCAAAGGCAAAAAAGGACCTTTGTTCACAGCTTCCAGCTGCATGAGAAAATCTATGCACTCTCCTTCGCGAGCATTGCACGAATGGAGAGGTTCCGACACCCTTGCGCTTAGCCGCTAGGCGCGCAGGTGCTAGGGGGTCAGCTGCCCTGCGACCAGCTGAAACCGTTCAAAGGACTCGGGGCTCTCAGGAGCTCGCCGCGCCGATTGGAAAACTGTACAAAAGTGGTACAAAAGTACGCAAAGCATGGGCACCTAGGTCACAACGTTCACTCGCGGGACTTAGGCTTAGGCTCTGAAATGTTACCCTTAAGCCTAAGCCCTAGACCCTGAATCCTAAACCCCAAACCCTAAACTCTAAACCCTAAACCCTAAACCCTAAACCCTAAACCCTAAACCGGGTTATTTGGCACATAGGCCTCCGGATGCGAAGGCAGACCTGGCATGCCAAAGCCCCAGAATAGCTTAAATCCTGTAGAGCTAGGGGCAACCAACCGGGGGGGGTCCTCCGGCATCCAGCCCTAAACCCTAAACCCTAAACCCTAAACCCTAAACCCTAAACCCTAAACCCTAAACCCTAAACCCTAAACCCTAAACCCTAAACCCCTGCTTCCTTTACCCAACATGCCCTCTTTAGGCTCTGGGCTTCGGGGGCCCGCATCAAACCTGATTCCCCATGCTGGGAGGCGTACGCTGGGCAGCACCGAAGAGTGCGCTGAGGTGCAACATTCAAGGGGGCCAAGAACATCCTCCAACTTTGGTGGGGCTGGGTTTAGGGTTTAGGGTTTAGGGTTTAGGGTTTAGGGTTTAGGGTTTAGGGTTTAGGGTTTAGGGTTTAGGGTTTAGGGTTTAGGGTTTAGGGTTCAGGGTCAGGGTTCAGGGTTCAGGGTTCAGGGTTCAGGGTTCAGGGTTCAGGGTTCAGGGTTCAGGGTTCAGGGTTCAGGGTTTAGGGTTTAGGGTTTAGGGTTTAGGGTTTAGGGTTTAGGGTTTAGGGTTTAGGGTTTAGGGTTTAGGGTTTAGGGTTTAGGGTTTAGGGTTTAGGGTTTAGGGTTTAGGGTTTAGGGTTTAGGGCTGGCTTAGGGGTGTGAGAACCTCGCTCTGATGTTCTAAGGTTCGAGGGCTTTAGGGTTTAAGGCTGGGCTGACCCGTATCCCACCCCCCGCTTGTTACATCTAGAGAATTTTTGGCCTTAGGCGCTCAATCAGAACACCCAAGATTGCAAACCGAGACCAGAATCTTCGTTCTTGCTTGAACAGTATGCCTGTATGCCCAAGAGAGATTGTTGGCGCAAACACGCAAGGCCGCAGGAAAACGTCAAACATCCGTCCTCCCACCTTTAGCAGACAACACCAGGCTCCTTTGTTTGTACTTGGCCGCGGAAAAATCCAAACCCTAAACCCTAAACCCTAAACCCTAAACCCTAAACCCTAAACCCTAAACCCTAAACCCTTTAAAGCCTAAACCCTAAACACTAAACCCTTGAGGATCCTGTGGGTGCAGCGGATAGGGGTAACTGCGTCAGGCTCGGGCATGGCATTGGCGGGGCTACGGAGATTAGGCGCACGAAAGGTTTAGGGTTTAGGGTTAAGGTTTAGGGTTTAGGGTTTAGGGTTTAGAGTTTAGGGCTTAGGGCTTAGGGCTTAGGGTTTAGGGTTTAGGGTTTAGGGCTAGACCCGGGAGTAACCTTGGAATAAAAAGGGTACCCTGTTTGGTTTCAAGGGGATTATAAGGGACCCCCAACCCGAAAAAAAGGAAACAAGGGCCTACTTCCGGTCCTAGACTATAAGCATCGAAACAAACTCCACATGGGGCGCAAGTGCCGATTAAGGACTGTTAGTACAAGGGGGAACATCCCAACCCTAATCCCTAAACTCTAAACCCTAAACCCTGATATAGAACTTCGGGTCTAGGGGCACTTAGAACCCCTGAACCCTGCTTCGTCGCCCCCCCCTGGTGCGTGTGGCGAGAAACTGCTATTTGCTTAAGAGCCCCCCCCCCCAAAAAGTTTTTTTTTAAACCTATGTATATATATATATATATATGGATCATTATTTTATACTTTTTTGGCTTAAGAACCCCTCAAAAAATACAATAATCATTCTTTATAAGGGCAATATAGGGATCACCATTTTAATACTTGTTTGTGAGGTTCTTCAGCAAGTCGTAGGGAATGAGGATGCAAGCCCCGCTCCTGGGGACCAGGAGCCTAGCAGAACTCAGCGCCTGTACATTTCATGCATCCCAAGCGCAAGGGAGGTCGACGTGCTTCCAGGAGGGGAGCCCAGTTGCTGTCAAACGTCGAAAGGGTACTTTGGGCTTAGGGTTTAGGGTTTAGGGTTGAGGGTTGAGGGTTGAGGGTTGAGAGTTTAGGGTTTAGGGTTGAGGGTTGAGGGTTGAGAGGGTTTAGGGTTTAGGGTTTAGGGTTTAGGGTTTAGGGTTTAGGGTTTAGGGTTTAGGGTTTAGGGTTTAGGGTTTAGGGTTTAGGGTTTAGGGTTTACTTGGAGGATCATGGGACTTAGTAAGCAGGGTCAGAAGTACCTTAATTGGGTTTAATTGGGTTGAAAAAGTAATTGTAACTATAGTTGCCCTACTTATGACCCTACTTACTAAGTGTCCTGATCCTTCAAGTAGCGGGCCGCTGCCTGCTGCGCGGTAAGACTCGACGCACCTATATACCCTAATATAACAATACTAGTACCGGTTCCGGGTTTAGGCCTAGGCAGAGGTAGCAGGATCTTCAGGCAGAACGCTTAGACTCACGCCGGGGGCAACCAGACTCTCTCATCAAGAGAGGAGGATTCGGTTCGGCGGAGGACAGCGCATGCCGTGGAGAGGAACCCCAATTCGCCCACCCCTCTCTGTCTACTTGCCTTCCAGGGATGCCGGGAGCTCAGGGTGTAGGGGTTTAGGGTTTAGGGTTTGGGGTTTAGGGTTTAGGGTTTAGGGTTTTGGGTTTTGGGTTTAGGGTTTAGGGTCTCCCAAAATCCAGCACAACCTACCTAGCCTTCGACACAGATGCCCGAAACCCGAGGGTTGCCCCTCGGCATGTTTTCAAGTCTACTTCAACCCTAATTAAGAAGCCTAAGCCCTACTTTGGAGTAGACCCTGGAAAACAAGTTATATACTTATTAGGTAGAAGTAGCTGTAGTAGGCACCCAGAGCATTAAAGTAGAGTACTCCAAAACCCCAATGAACTCTCCACTCCAAACCCCCCAAAGCCCAAACACTTCGAACGCGAGCTCCGGGCAGGCCTGCTTGCACCTTAACTAACTCGTGGTTGTGATGGTATTGAAAATCTTAAGTTCTGGTCTTTATAGAGTTTAGAATTTAAGGTCCTTATCGAGTTTAAGTACCCTCAAAAAATGTAAAATGTCACCCCCACGATGACAAAGTTAAACTTCTTGTTGGGTCTAAGAACTTCAAGGCTGGACCCTGTGACCCCAAATTGGACTTAGGGTTTAGGGTTTAGGGTTTAGGGTTTAGGGTTTAGGGTTTAGGGTTTAGGGCTTAGGGTTTAGGGTTTAGGGTTCAGGGTTCAGGGTTCAGGGTTCAGGGTTCAACAAAGCCTAACACCCTCTGACACAACTTGGAAAACAGGCAGCTTAACACGTAGCGCCCCTTGAACAATGGAGCTATATGGGCTTCATTAAAAACAATAAATCACACAAACGGAGAAACTATGCTCTGCTTCTCTACCTACCAACGTAACTTCTGGCTGCCTGGAACACCCTACAGCCCTAAAGCCTAAAGCTTGAACTCTAAACCCAAACCCTGAATGCAAAAGGGCTGTCCTCCGATCGTGGGCTTTGGTCCTCCAAAGGGTTCTGAGCGTTTGGGGTGGAGGGGGGGGAGGGGAGGGGGGGATTTAGGGTTGAGCGTTGAGGGGTCGTGGGCAAGGGGTTGGGGAATTTTGGGGTTGAGGGTTTAGGGAGTTTAGGGCTGAGGGCTGACCCTCTACCCCACTCAGGGCAGGTTTTGGTTGAGGGCTTCTCTAGATGTATGTCCCTTCTAGGGTCCTCTAAGTCTAACGGCTGCAGCCGAAGCCTTGAAATGTAGGGTTTAGGATTCGGGTTCTTCCTGGCAATGAGCTTTGTCTAACAACAAGCAAACAGCCGCGGCCGCAGAGAAACAACAGCCTAAACCTGAAGCCTTAAACACAAAGCCCCCAAACGATACATCCAATCATTGCAGCTACATCGTAAAGCAACCACTCATCAGAAGCATATGCCTACTGGACATCACTCAAGCCCTGAACCCCCTTAACCCTAAAGCCCCATAAACCCATGAAACCAAAACCCCTTCATTCAGGAATCTACCCGAACACATGCGCATCAATTTAGGATTGTCATATTGCTGCAATAAACAGATTTGTTGCGAAAACACAGTGGGGACGGATTGGCCATCCAACGCGTCATAGCTGCCCATGAATGCCCATGAATGCCCCTCGATGTATGTGCTGAAGGGCCTGAGGATGGGCCAACAGCCACTTGGAGAGTTCCTGGATCATCCCATCCTTCCGATCGTCCGCTGCCTGAAGGTTGGCCCACTGCTCCTTGCGCAGCTGCTCTCCTTTCTTCCTGTTTAGCGTTTAGGGTTTAGGGTTTGGGGTTTAGGGTTTAGGGTTTGGGGTTT